GGTTGCTGTCTTCATCACGGGGGCGGCGGGACGGGGGCGTGCAGGGGAAGGCTGGTCTTGCCAGGTGCTGGCCTGACACGCAGAGCGCCGTGTTAATTGGTTTCCTGGGGAGCCTGTCTCTAACAGTGCCTCATTATGCAAGAAACGCTTTCTCTTTTGTCCCACGCTCTGCATATTTTACCATAAAATGTTCATCTCCGCTTCTGCAGTGCTGTGGGGCTGGTGATGGACACCGCAGTGTCCGGGCTCCCGCGCAGGGGCTCTGGTGTGCGGGAGTCCGACCTCTGCGGTGTCCGTCCCCAGCCCCGCGTCCCCGGTCCCTGTCCCCGGTGCTCTCTGCACCCCCAGGCACAGCTCGCAGGCTGCACGGGGGGGGTGCGTGTCCTGTCCAGCCCACGGCATTTCGCAGCCCCTTGTGCTGAGCCTGTTTCTGGGGGCTCTCGCCTGCCTGCCCGCGCCTGGGGAGCCCTGCATGCTCCGGCTCCTCCGTGACCACGGCAGAAGCCCTCCGCAGCCCCGGCCCCACGGCCCGTGCAAGCCCCAGCGATTCGCAGCAGTTTGGGAGACCCCAGCGGCAGCGCCGCCTCGGTGGAGGCCAGCCACAGCGAGAGGTTTTTGGTGGGAGGTCAGGGCAGCGCCAGCAACGGGGAAAGCGATGGCAAAGCTATCCGTTAAAGACTCTCAACTCAATTAAGGCTATTGATTAAGCAATTAGAAGAAGCTGGACTCGACTTCTCAGTAATAATCCAAATTGTCCCCAGTGATGGACAGCTGTGTGCGGGGTGGCGTCCGTGTCCCCAGCACGCGTGTCCCCAGCGCGCATGTCCCCAGCATGCATCCCCGCGCATGTCCTTGGCACGTGTCCCCAGCACACGGACTGCCCCCCGCCCGCAGCCACTGTGCCAGGGAAGCACTGCACCTTCCACACGTCCGTCTACAGCCTTGCCCCGCGGTGCACTGGGGTCGTTCTTCCCCTTCGGTCAGACCCAGGAGGTGCCTGAGCGCGCTGGGCTCAGCACCAGCGGGTGGGTGAGTGGCAGAGCCGCACGGGCACGGCGAGCCCCGGAATGAGGGGTGGCACCTGCCTGGCCCGGGGTGCAGCCTCGCCGGATCCTTGTGCCGTGGGGCTGGAAAGGTGCCCAGCGCGGCCGTGCACTGCTCCGGCCCCAGCAGTCGTGGCCGCATCCCCAGCTGGAGGCCGGGCCCTTTGCTGGGGGGCAGCGAAGAAACACAGCTGAGCCCAGCATGTGGGCGACCTGGGCAGCAGGACGGGAATTCGGGGAGCCCTCGCAGCACACCTGCCCTGCCGATGGCAAGTGAAGCTGCTGGGCTACATGCTGAAGCATTAATGGTGTCTTTATATCTCTGGTAATATATCGCATTGATTTTCTCTTGTTATAACTGCGGTTCCTGCATTGCAGGCCGGTGTTTTGTCACTTTACCTTGACAGGACACAGTGGATTTACTCCCCGCCGTGCCACTTGTGGCTCTGGAGCCATGTGCCACGCCAGCGCTGGGGCCTGCACCCAGCACCCGCTGTTTGGGGGGCTAGCACGAGCATGGGGTCAGACCAGCCCCATGTCCCCCCCAGGGGGGCCGGGAGGGGGCCCAGTGGGGCGCTGGCACAGGAGGGTGGCTGGGCGCTGAGCATCCCTGCCGCCGCACAGGAGTTTTATTGGCCCAAAGAAAAGGCAGCTCCTGCACATTTTATTAGCGAGCTGACATTTCGGCGCAGACCCAGCTCTGGCCTCTGTGATGGCTGGGGTGGGGAGGCGGCAGGTGGCCCCCGCTCCCCGGCACGGTGCCTTGGGGTGCCCCATGGTGCCAGCAGTGGCAGCTGAGCCAGGCCCCCCCAGAGCCCACTGCAGTGGGGCCACCAGTCTTCCCAGTACCCCATAAATCCCCCAGCTCGTTGTGCTGTGGGGAAGGTTTTGTCTCTCTTCCTTTTTATGAAACACGTTTTAATTTAAATTGTCATTTCTGTATTTTAACTACCTGTCCCTGGGCTCCCGGGCGGCTCTGCTGGCACCCCAGGGGCTGGAAGGGCCGAGGTGCTCCGGGCTGGGGTGGCTGGGTGGCACCGTCCCACCAGGACACGTCACCCCCGTCCCTCCTGGGCACCCCCAGACCTCTCCCGCTCCCTCTGCGCCCCACGGCTGTGCGAGGCGATCCAGGGCTGGGGCTGGGAGAGGTCACCCTCGGCATCCCTTCCTCCCTGGGCTTTCTTTTTTGCTGTAAAGCACCCCAATATTTTGCAACCAAGTTTGTTTTTTGGCTTTTGTAGGTGAGTAAATTCTAGCCTTATTATGTGTAGAAAATGGCTGGGAAAAATAATTCGCACGTAACCCCGCATCTCGTGGAGGCAGCTGCAAGAGCTTTGCTTGTATTAAATCTCATGATTTTTCACCAAAGACAGTCTTTCCCAAACCCATCCCCTCTGGGTGTGAAGGGACCAAGAGATGAAAAGCTGCTCCAGCAGGACCCAGCACCAACCCAGCCCCCTCCCCGCCTGTGTCGCCGAGGCCAGTGTGTCCCTGCGATGGTTGTGCCCCCTGCCCCGTCACCCCCAGCCCCTGCCGGGGCATCCCTCCCAGCTCCCTGCTCCTCCGGCTATGCTGGGGCAGGCGTTGCTGAGCAATGCAACCTGGCCGGCTGCACGGGTATCCCCAGCTCTCCTCCCTGCCCAGAATCCCACCCGAATTTCTTGGATCTCTCTTGTTTTCATGGCTCTGGGCACTGCCGGGGGTTTGACTCAGGGACCTGGCACTGAAGGGATGCGCCAGCCCCGGTGCCTGCTGGGGACTCCTTGGTGGGATCCATCACTCCACCAGGTCCTTCTCCACTTACCACGGTCCATGCATACTGTGCAGAGATAATTTGTTCATTAGCTGCTTTCTGCTGCTGAGCTGCCTGCATTACCGCCGTCAAAGGCTGCTGTGCCCTTCGCAGCCACCTTTGCTGCTCAGCCTGTTTCCCCCTCCCGAAACGAAGGACCTGCCTGGGTTGCCGATGGGTAATGATGGGGTGCAGCAGGACTGTGCCGTACCTGGGGCTTATCCTGGTCCTGTGGGGTCCTCCCCTCCCTGTGGGAGCCTCCTTCTCCTCCTTCTCCTCCTCCTCCTCCTCTTCTTCATCTTCCTCCTGCTCCTCTCCCTCCATCCCCTCCATCCCTCATCCCCTCCATCTCTCCATCCCCTCC